GCTGAAGCTCCTGAAGGTAAAGGCCGCAACTGCCCTGCCCCAGCCATGGCCAGCACCGCTGTTTCTTTGGGTTTAGGGTTTAGGGTTTAGGGTTTAGGGTTTAGGGGTTTAGGGTTTAGGGGTTTCTTGTTAGTTACTATGGTTGTTGCTACTTGTTATTAGGGTAGTTCTCTACATTAGGGTCCCTTTTAGGATCCTTTTTATAAGGGTGCCGTAGTATATTGGGGACCTGAAAAGGGACCCTAATTTTGAAAACTACCCATTATAGGTTATTGACGTTATGATTCAGGTCTCGCTATTGTGAGACAGTTGGTTTTTGAAGATGTTACGATGATTGCTATGATTACGGTTGCGTTCTTTGCTCATAGTTACTACAGGCTTTAGGGCCTCCCTAAACCCTGAACCCTAAACTCCAAGCCGTTAAGTCTTCAGGGCTTCGGGCTTGAGCGTCCGTGACGTTGCTGTCTGCATCTGAAAACTGGGCTTCTGGTGGCGTCATGGTCTAGGGTTTAAGGTTCAGGGTTTAGGGTTTAAGGTTGAGGGCTGAGGGTTTAGAGTTAAGGGTTTAGGGTGTAAGGTTTTAGGGCTTACGGGGTTTAGGCGTGGTCGGTCTTCTTGGTAATTTAGGGCTGTTACAGAGCTTATACAGCTTGTGAAGTCGTCATTCAGTCTTTTGTACGGCTTGTTCCAGACTTCTGCGGGTTCTGGCCGTTGGGGCTCACGGTTTAGGCTTTGTGGTTGAAGGTTCCGAAGCATGGTGTTTCGAAGCTGGCCGGCGAGGGACAGACGAGGATTTTGGGGGTTTAGAGTCTGGGGTTTAGGGTCAGATTCGTCGATGTTCAGGTTGTGGGTTTCGGACTTGGGTCAAAGGCACAAGGGCTTAGGGTTCATATACAGTATAACATAGTATAGGGATTCATAGCATAAGGTTCTTTCGTCCTTAAGGTTGTGGGCATTCTTTAAACGCTGGGTGTCAAGCGCTGCGATTGGGCTTACCAACTTCCACTCAACATCTGCTTTGCCAAGATCGGTGCTACATAGTTCCATTCTTCAGAACCTACGTGTTCAAGCAGCCAAAGCACGAAACACATCACTTTTAGCAGCGTGACCTTGATTGGGATCAAGGATTTCAAACCCTGATCTTCATACAAGTTCCTTAAGGACGAAAAGAACCTTAAAAGTAGGGGGCTTATACCCTTAAGCTATGAATCCCTATACTGTATATGAACCCTAAGCCCTTTTAGGGCTCTTTTCGTCCTTACGGTTTAGGAAGCTGGGATCTCGAGCTTTGCCACGGTTCCTTTACATGTTTATATTAAAGCTTTACAAGGCTCAATTTATGGGGTCTTGAGGGTTTAGGGCTGAGGGTTTAGAGTTTAGGGTTTAGGATGGTCTGGGCAGCTATTGTGCGGATGTAATCACGAGCGCTTTTATGTCTGGACAGCGCGTCCTCTGGCTCTCAGCGGAAGGCGTATCCCGTTCACGAGCAGTGCTTAAATCCGAAGCCTAGTCCCACATAGCCATTACGAACGAAACTTGAGGGCTTAGGGCTTGCAGAGTTTAGGGCTTCTAAGGTTCATGTTATGCGGCTCCGTGACCCGTCAAAAGCAGTTTCTGTGGGTTTAGGGCTTAAGGCTTCTAGGGTTTAGGGCTCACTGTCATCCCGTCATCCTACCTGGACCTTACCGAACCTAATTATCTTGTCAGGTTATGGCCTAGGGGCTGAGTACCCTAGCCCAAACAAAACGTTTAACCTTTGCAATTATGGTAGGATTACTTCAGCCCCAAAAAGTTTTTAAAGTTACCTACTGAGCTACTAAGATGGTCATAATTACCCTAAACCCTAAACCCTGGTTCCGTAGGACCTGGTGAAGACTATCTTTGAGGGCTCAAGGAATTTAACAAGTTCGTTCTTACTTGCCCTATTACCATTGCCGTCAGCGGGGGAACGGATCCTTATGATCGTCCCTTCAGGTCCCCTTATAGTAGTCCCAATAACCCATTCCCCCATTCCCTACTAAGCACCTGACACTTATAGACTTATAACAGACTTACTAAGTCCTCTGCGCCTTCAAACGCCGAGAGTCGGAACGGACTTTTCCGGGGTTCGTTAGCCATCTCAGCAACGCAGGAGCCTGCCCGCAAAGCGATGTGAACAGGGTTGTTGTTTTAAGGGTTTAGGGTTTAGGGTTTTTGCTGTAAGGGTTTAGGGACAGGGTTGTTGCGTTAAGGGAAGCAAACAGGGGCCTTAATAAACAGAAAAGGGTTTTGGGGTATACTATACTATAGTTATAGTAAGGAACCCCCACAATAATGAAGGTTAAATTTTCGGGCCCCTGCATGTGACAGGGCCCTTTATCATGAGTCCGTTATTAATACCAGGAGCCCCAGTATCTCCCCAGGTATTGGCTGCTACTAGACGTAGATCCACAAGAAGCTTCTGAAGCTCTTTAGATCCTCTGTGTCCTAATCTGCAAGTACGAGGAACGCAAGGGCCTACGTGCTTCATGTCCGTCCGAAGGGACATGTTGAAATCCCGAGCGATCAGCAAGGTGTTGCGCTGTGGGATATGTGCTATAGACTTGCGAAGGCTCGCGAGCAGATCGCGCCGCAGGGTTTTGTTGGCCTCTAGGGTCTCTCTCGTTCGCCATACGCACTGGTAACAACAGAGTATGTCAAGTGAGAGCTTCTCGCCCGGTACCCTGACCTGAAGAATTCGTCCAGGAAGGACCTCGTTGTACCGGATTGCTTGCTGCTTGCACAACGATGAGTGTATCATCACGAGCACTCCTGCTCCCTTTTCGCAAGTGGAGCCTGAGCTCACAACGTGCCAGTCCTCCTTGGTGAACTGCCAACTACCTCGCCAGTGAGTCTCCTGGATTGCCACTATTCTGACCGAGCTATAATTTGGCGTTTTCAGCACTCAATTTTGGTAGGATTATATAAGCCCCTACAGTAGGCCCGAAACCCTGAAACCCGAAACCCTAAACACACCTACTCAGCCCCTAAGTGTTGGGTAGTTTGACAAGGAACCTCAGACCACAAGCAAGGAAAAAGGGCCCTTTATTAGGATTAGGGGTACCCTTGGCGATATGGGCCTTCTCAATAAGGTCCCCGTTACGACAGCCATAAGTAAGGTTAAAAACGGTCCCGTTTAAGGGTCTCCCTAATACCATCTAGGGTTAGGAATAAACATGGCACCCTTTTTGGTTTTGGGAAGTTTGATAAGGAACCTCTGACCACAAAAAAACAAAAAAAAGACCCAGTGAGATACACTCCATATCTGCGGTCCCTGAGTTCATCCCTCTTAACCCAAAACCTAAACCCTAAACCCCAAAACCTGAACCCTAAACCCTACAACCTAAACCCTAAAACCTGAAACCCTAAACTTTAAACCCTTGAAAACCCTTGAAAACCCCGGGACAGAGTTTGTGGAACCAAGAAGCCATCGGCTCTCCTCTGAGACCGATGTGGGCAAAAAGCAAATTAAAGGAAACTACTGGTGGGGAGTTTAGGGTTTTTTTAGGATTTAGGGCTTACGGTTTAGGGTTTAGGTGGGGAGTTTAGGGTTTAGGGGTTTAGGGTTAAGGGTTTAGGGTTGAGGGTTTAGGGGTTTAGGATTTAAGGTTTAGGGTTTAGGGTATGGGGTTTAGGGTTTAGGAATTAAAGGAAACTGCAGGTGAGGAGTTTAGGGTATATAGGGCTTCTATAAAGCTTCCACAAGGTATCTAGACCTTCCAGAAAGAAGGCTTCCATATACGGTCTAGAGACCTTCTATAAGGCTCCAAAAACGGTAGCTACCCACCTGAGAATGTCCTAGAAGAAAAGCCCAGAAATAGCCCTAGCTTCCTAAGGATCTCCTTGTTCGAAAGAGTAGTCTCAAAGGTACCCGGTTCAGGGTTTAGGGTTTAGGGGTTTAGGGGTTTAGGGGTTTAGGGTTTAGGGTTTAGGGTTTAGGGGTTTAGGTGATACCCCCTTTGCCATTACTGCCATAAGCACTACATTCCAACCACCCTAACCCCAGACCCTAAACCCTAACCACCCTGTGCTGGCGTGAACATTGCTAACTTCCCCAACAGGCCAGGCAAACGAAAGGCTAAACTTTCAGATTCCTACTAAACTACAAGAACCCCAAAAAGTTTAAAGGTTGTATATTTGGGAACTAAGTAAAACCCTAAACCCTACACCCTAAACCCTAAACCCTAGACCCTCAAATCCTGAACCCTGAAATCCGCGGTGCTAAGCCTTGTGCTGGCCTGAGCATTGTCAGTAACCGGTCAGGGAGGACAGGACGAAGTTCACGATGTCGTTCATCACCTGCTTCGCCATGTTCCGGGTTCAGGGGACGGTTTGGGTTTAGGGTTTAGGGTCTAGGCTTTAGGGTCCCTAAACCCTAAACCCTGAACCCTAAACCCTAAACCCTGAACCCTACACCCTGAACCCTAAACCCTGAACCCACAACCACTAAACCCTAAACAGTGTTGAGGGCTTAGGGTTGAGGGTTTAGGGTTTAACTTGGAGGGTCGGGGGACTTGGTAAGTAGATATGAAGTAGAGTTATAAGTACCCTAAAAGGGATCCTAAGTTAAGTAATGGGACTCATAAGCCTGTAAAATAACTAGCTACTAAGTCCCCCGAAACCCTAAACCCTAAACCCTCCAAGGAGGGTTTAAGGGTTTAGGTTTTCGGCTCTGGGTCCTCATTCAAGAGCTTTAAGATGCCGGCTTAAGGCGGGGTCTAAGTCGGAAAGGTTTAGAGTTTAGGGTTTAGGGTTTAGGGTCTAAGTCCCCCTGGGCCCTTAAGAAGGTCCTCATGTTCAAAGCCTTCTTACTTCCCCACTAAGCCAGGAAGTAAAAAGGTTAAACCTTTCAGACTACTACTAAAATATAAGAACCCAAGAAGCTTGAAGGTTGGGCTTTGGGGTTTGGGGCCTTCCTGTAAGAATTCCAAGACGCCATAACATCGAAAGCATTGAATATCATGGCTGACCCTATCTCGGCAGGAAAACATGAACACATCATATCAGCAGCCTAAACTCCTCTTGGATATAATTACGGATCCTGCTGTACCTTCGTGATTAATCACTTTGGAGTTTAGGGTTTGGGGTTTAGGGTTTGGGGTGTCTATGCTAATGATAGGGAGAAGGATCCCGCCACCTCGTCCTTGTTCGGCTCATTCAGCAGCTGGTGGTATGCCCCGTCGTAGATTTTCCTCGCTTGCCATTGGCATCTCAAAATGCTCACATTTGACATCAATCTGGGTCGCCAAGATGTCAAGAACGGGGTTCAGGGCTCAGAATCTAAGGGTTTTGGATAACTTCAAACCCTACACACGGCTTTTGCAGGGTTCGGGGTTTCACAAGGAGCTAATGTAGGGGCCTTAATAATAAGAATAGGTTTTGGAGTCCCTCTATAGTATAAATATAACATGGAACCCCCAAAATAGTATAGGTAATTTTTTATTTAACCCTAAACCCTAAACCATTTAGGCCCCTATCTTATACACGAACTCGCGGTCTAAAGTTCGAGATCTTGGGAACCCGAGACCCTAAACCCTAAATCCTACAAAACCGGAGACCCAACCCAAAACCTATAATTCAAGGGTTTAGGGTTTAGGGTTTAGGGTTTAGGGTAAACCCTAAACCCTATAAACCCTGAAACCTAAATAATACAACCTCTCGGCCCTGTTATCACTCATAAACCCTACCAGGCCTCTGTAGGATTTATAAGGCCTTACCGTCGAAGTCTTCCGAATCTTAACTTACACATCCCTTGCAGAACCCTTGTAGAACCCTGATTGAAAAGGGCCCTAAACCTTCATCCCTACCTGTAGCCCCTAAACCCTAAACCCTAAACCGGCAAGATCTACCTTTTGAGGGTTCCTTCTTATAGTTTTCAAGACATAGCTCCTTAAAAAAGGTAGGTCTTGTGGGCCACAGGTAAGCCCCCAAGAACCCTCAGAGGACGGTCCGGGTGTCTGTCCCGGATCTCGGCTTACTTCCACACCTTAAGGACGAAAAGAGCCTTAAAAGGGGCTAAAGGTTCCACTGCAATATAGGGATTCCTATTGTAAGGGTATGAGGCCCCTACTTTTGGGGTTCTTTTCGTCCTTAGCCGCAATGACTCGGCAGAAACCCTGAACACCAAACCCTAAGCCCTAAAGCCTAAACATGTGATCTATGGGCTTCAACCCTAAATTCTAAATCCTAACAACTACAAGTCCGAATGTGTTCGGGGTGTTTGATTTGAAGACATAACTTTCTTAGGATACCTGGAGGGATAGCTTAGGTGCAGCCACCTTAAGGACGAAAAGAGCCCTAAAAGGGTTTAAGGTTCGTCGGGGCTCATAGTATAAGGGTATAGGGGACCCTACTTTTAGGGGTCATTTGGGTCCTTAAGGCAGTGACAAAAAACCCTAAGCCCTAAACTTAATGCAGCTCAAGGGCAGACGCGGGACCAGCGCCGTAGCCTGTGGCTGTAGCAGCCAGACCCAGACCCAAACCCTAAACCCCAAAGGATCCCCGGTACCTACGTAGTACAAAATAGGATCTCTGGGTGGTGTTCGTGTAGAAACTATCTATGAACTCTAAAACCTCAACCCTACTTTAACGCTCATGGAACTTAGCAAGTAAGGATATGAATAAGGCTACCTAAGCCCTTTTAGGGCTCTTTTCGTCCTTGAGGTAACCCTACTTACTTCCTAAGTCCCTTCGAGCCCCTAAGTCAACCCTAACATGTAGCATAGATATTCTCAGGATCCTATAGGATTCCCCCAAACCCCTAAACCCTAAACCCCTAAGCCTCAAACCCTAAACCCCTAAACCCTAAACCCCTAAGCCCCAAACCCTGAACCCCTAAACCCTAAACCCTAAGCCCCTATGGCAGGGTAGTTTGAGGCTCAGGGGGTTTGTTTGGAGCAAAAGGTTGTGGTAGATCATAGGGTATGCTACAGTCCTGTGCCGTAGGTTTAGAGTTTATGGCTTCGACATGCATTGGCTAGAGCCTATGGGGATTTGGGGATGATACCCTACACTAGACCTCAAGTTCATTACTGTAAACACTGGTCGCTAATTAAACCGGGTCCTGATACTGTGAACCCTAAACCCTAAACCCTAAACCCGACCCACTTCACTTCTATGAGCTTCTTGAGCACCCCTGCTTCAGAGCCCTTCACGCAAACGCCGTCCACCAGAATAAGGGTTTAGGGTTTAGGGTTTAGGGTTTAGGGAGGGCTTTAATTGCTAGAATAGGGCGCTGTTCCTGGTGCGGGCGCGGGCGTGCCGGAACTCCCTGGAGGACAGCGCCCTGGTGCCGTTGGCTACCAGGTGGCCCGCACGTTATAAGAGGTATAAGGCCCCTACTTTTAAGAATCTTTTCGTTCTTAAGGGCGGGAGTGGCCAAAGCACAGGTTGCATTCTCAGGCGCATCTTCGTAAGGTTGCAACCACTCGCCTGGATGAGCGCAAGGACATGCGACAGCTCGAGCTGTGTATTACTGTCCTTTGACAGTTTCGGTTCCGTGATAGCGAAGCACGACATGCGTCCGTTCGCCAAGACCCCAATGATGTGGAGCCGCGGGCGCGCAGTAACCAGGTTCTCTAAAGGGGTTTAGGGTTTAGGGTTTGGCTTTTAGCTTTGGTGACGTGGACAAGCAAACTTACTTTGATCCATCCGGTCCTGGATTATAACCTATTCCTCTTCTGCCAACCTTGAGGATGCACGGCTTTCCCAGTACTGGGCGCGCAAGTGAGATTCCAAGAAGTGGCGTTGGGCCGCGCGTCTGGGGTATACTATACTATAAATTTACTGCAGAACCCGGAGGAATAGTACTTTAGTTAATAGTCAGACCCTTACACTATGAAGAACGAGCTGGATGTAGAGAGTCAACGGTGGCGATCCGCCCGATAACGGGCTTGGGGTTAAGGGGTAAAGGCTAAGGGATTGATCACGGTTTAGGGTTTAGGGTTGTTCCCTGAATTCTGAGCTTTTCTGTATGACTCAAACTACCATAACCTTGTCGTTGTGGGCTCCCAGCAAGTTTTATATAAGATTTTTATGTTACATACCTACAAAGCAGGGTGTTATGGTAGGGAATCAAAGCTCGGAAACCGTCACAGTCGGAAATCGCGAGAGCTACCAACCCGTTATAATGCCTATCCAAGCAATTAGACTAGGTATTTATTGAGGGGAGGGGTGATGTTATGAATCCATTCGGGAGTAGTGAGTAGTAGCGTGATGACATCATGGCACCCTACACCCAAAACCCAACCCTACACCCTAAACCCTAAACCCAACACTACACCCTAAACCCTACACCCTAAACCCTAAACCCTGCACCCCACGCCCTTGCACCTGGCCTCCATCTCAATGCCTTGGCACCACGCGCTGTGGATGCCGATGCTTCCTGGCTCCCCCCAAATCTGGGGCCCAAGGCAAACCCCTCTAAACCCTAAAGTTCCCTAATGACTACCCCACCGTTTAAGGGTTTCGGGTTTAGGGTTTAAGGTTTAGGGTTTAGGGTTTAGGGTCCCTAAACCCTAAAGTTCCCTAATGACTACCCCACCTTTTAAGGGCTTAGGGTTTAAGGTTCCTAAACCCTAAAGTTCCCTAATGACTACCCCACCGATTAAGGGTTTAGGATTTAGGGTTTAAGGTTTAGGGTTTAGGGTTTAGGGTTTAGGGTCCCTAAACCCTAAAGTTCCCTAATGACTACCCCACCTTTTAAGGGCTTAGGATTTAAGGTTCCTAAACCCTAAAGTTCCCTAATGACTACCCCACCGTTTAAGGGTTTAAAGGGGTAGGCAACACAACTAAGATATCAGCAACAGGTAAGTAAGATACCTATTTTCATTCGGGGTCAAGGGATTGCAGGGTTTTGCACTAATTTAATATAAGTAAGGACGAAGAATCATCCGGTGACTGTGGTGATGTACCAGCCCCAAACAC